CAAATAAACAAAAAAAAAAAAAAAGAAAGAAAGAAAGAAAGAAAAGAAAAGAAAAAATCTTCACGGGTAGGGCAAGGAAACTTCTGGCTTATAACCAGAGCCCTGCAACATTCTACTTTTGCAACTCTTCCAGGAGGAGTGGTTCTTGAGAAACCAAAGAGATACACCTTCAGGGAGAGTACAGCATGGCCCCTGTAGCACACTACAAGCATACCTGGTGACCTGGTTAGTCTTCGTTAACACTTAGAAAGCAAGAATGTACAAGAACATCTTCTGTGTCCCTGTCTCTTCACAACTTCAAAATGTGAAGCCATGTCTCTGTATGTCCACTCTTTACCCTTTATCTACAACTAAATTTTAGAAATTTTATAGGAAAAATTAAGCATACCTAACTTTAATGCCAGCTACTCTGCAGGCTGAGGCAGAAGGGTTGCAAGTTGAAGGCCAGCTTGGGCAATAGAGCAAAACCCTGTCTCAAAATAAAAAGGACTGGGGATGTATGTAGCTCAGCAATAGAGGCCTCTCTGCTTCAATCGCTGTATTGCGCAGGCTATCAGTTTCCTTGCCCTACCTGTGGAGATCTTTTCTTTTTTTTTTGTTTTTTGAAAGGGGTCTCACTATGCAGTTGAGGCTGACCTTGAACTCACTATGTAGCCCAGGCTGGCTTTGAACTCTTGCCTCAGCCTCCTGAGTGTGTGGATTACAGGCATGTGCCACCACACCTAGTTTGCCCGTGGACATTCTGATGCAAGGTAAACCCCAGGAATTTCAAAATATCCCAAGTGTTTCTGACGGACAGGCCACGCTTTCAGTGACATTCTAGTAGATTACCATCCCAAAATTTAGAGTCTCCTTATCCTCTTGTTTTCTTCAGTGTTGGGGGGTCAATGACTTTCTAGTACTTCAGTCCAGTAAGTGTTCAAGACTCGAGACACATTGCCCTCAGTCGTGAGGCCTTCACTCTTCCTTTTCACCTGGTCTGCATTCCAGCCTCATTGTGCTTAGGCTTCCTTTCCTTCCCCACTTCCATTGTTTTCCGTTTCCCACCTTTACCTCTGTACCACCCAACAGGCCATCTAAGCTGCCCAGGAGATAACCGTGTTCTCCAGAATGTCACGCACACCAGCGTCAACAGCTGCATTATTCCTAAAGATCCCACACCGGAAATAACCTAATGCCTAGCAACTGCTGGATGGATAAACAAATGTGCTGTTGCATGCAATGTAATAAAAAGAAATAGAGTACCGATACCTGATACAACACTCATGAACGTCAGAGACGCTTCAAGTGAAGCGATGACTGTGACTGCGTATAAAAGAAATGTCTAGAATAGGAAAATCATTGACAGACAACAGATGGTGGTTACCAGGGGATTGGGCAGGAAGTGAATAACTATTGATAAAAACATTCCAGGGGGGCCAGAGAGATAGCTCAGTGGCGTAAGTGCCTGCCTGGCAAGCACAAGGTCTGGAGTTTAACCCCTGGTATCAAAAAAAAAAACAAAAACAAAAAACAAACAAACAAAAAAACCCAATACAACACTCTAAAGCTAGATTATGGTGATGATTTCATCACTCTACAGATACTAAACATGTTATACCTTAAAAGGATAAATTTTGTGGTGTGTGAATTGTATACTTAAAAAGTTGTTATAATAAATAACTATTATCTAGAGGGAACTGTCTACAGTAGACAATGGAAAGGCCAAGTAGCCATGACATGCTTGTGATTGTGTGAAGTGAATCTATCTGGCTAGCGATGTAAGCACATTTATTATAGTCATCTGACATGAAAATATTTAACTTACATGATTTTCCTTAAATTTTTTAAAGCAGCTTCAGAAGTGTATAAGATAAGCTTTATATTTCCAAATGGAGATACATATGGTAAGCATATATTTCAATTATTTTTCTTATGTAGAAAATTAAACAGCTTAACCATGAAAAGCAAGTCTGTCTCCTTTTATCAAACTACTATTCAGATATAAGTTTGCTTAAATTAAGCAATGTCGAACTCCAAATTGAGGAACACATTTTAAATCCAAACTCCAATGTTAAGTGTAGACCACACGCCTTGATAACCTGCAGGATCTCTCTCTGTTTCTGGCCTTTGGGTCTTCATGTCCTAGATCCATAGATCTCTTTATCTGTGGTCTCATTGGTTTCAGTGCTAGGGAACCAAAACAAACAGGGTACAGTTAGGAACTGGCCCAGACATAAATATTACCTAGTCAAATACGGTTCCCATTTAAAGTAGTTATGTTTCTGTCTTGTTTAGATGGTGACTGTACAAGAACATCTTCTGGCAGTTATGAGAGAAACGGAATAGGTATTCATACCACTCCTAATGGGATTGTCTACACAGGAAACTGGAAAGACGACAAGGTATTATGCTTTTGGTTTTTGTTTCCTTTTGCCGTCAAGCTGGGAATGGGCACCAGGGCCTCTTGAGTTATCCGCATGTGCTGTATCACTGAGCAACACACCCAGCCCTGTTGTTTTATTGTTTTGTTTTGTTTTTGGTATCAGAAATCAAACTCAGGACCTCATGCTTGCCCAGCAGGTACTGTGCCACAGAGGTAAATCCCCAGCCCCCTTAGTGTTACCTTTGATACAGCAGATAAATAATCCCTTGGGTTAAATGTCTTAAGCATTTCAACATTAATAAAAGTAATGAGTAGACTATACTGAGTAGACGATAACAAATGATATTTGACATGTTAGTATATACATAATATTAAACTCATGAAGAGAGCTAGTGATCATCATTATTGTGTGTCATCTCCTATTCATTAAGTGGAGATAAACTCATTCATAATATTCCCATTTAAGTCTTCAGAATCTCCTTATGAGATAGGTGCTATTAATATTCCTACTTTATAAATGAGGGAAATCAGGCTAAGGATTCTTGCCTAATAAGTGAGGAAACAAAAAAGTATAACCAAGCCTATTTGAATCTGGATTTACCGTCTATTTTTTGTTTGCTTTTGCTTAGCTGTATGTGTGTGTGCAGGGTTTCTATTTCTGTTTCTGTTTTCAAAGTATTAGGAACTGAGCCCAGGTTCCTTTGTCCTGAGGTATATCCCCAATCCATGGCTATTATTTTTTAATTTTGTTTTTGTCTTTTTGAGATAGGGTCTCACTATCAGTTCAGGCTGGCCTTGAGCTCACTTTGTAGCCGGGCTTGGTCTCAAACTCACAACAACCCTCCTGCCTCAGCCTCCCGGTACAGGGATTACAGGTGTGCACCACTATGCCTGGCTTTTTTTTTTTTTTTTTTTAAGCCAAGGTCATACAAGTTCACTCATAGCCCAGGCTATGCTCAAACTTGTGATCTTCCTGCCTCTACCTCCCAAAGAGCTGGGATTACAGGTGAGTGCTACCATGCTAGATTTAAATTTAAATTCTTTTTTTTTTTTTTTTTTTTTGCAGAACCAGGGATTGAACTCAGGCCCTTGCGCTTGCTAGGCAAGCGTTTATTCCACTGAGCTATCTCCCCAGCCCCTAAATTTAAATTCTTAGTTAATATTCTGTACTGTTTTCTGAACTCACTGAATTGGTTGCCCTTTGAGATTTGATTCACTGAAGGCTTCACGGAAATCCCTGTGATCATCATTGTGGAACCCCGCAGATCACAGATGGAGAACATTTAACTGAACGACTTCACACATAGACACAGGGGAAGGACAACAAGTTTGTCAAAATACTGACACAAAGTAGACTAAGTAAAATGAACATGGTGGCATATACCTGTAAACCCAGGACTTGGAAGCTGAGGTAAGAAGATTGCCCTGAGTTTGAGGCCAGCCTGGGTTATATAGAGAGACCCTGTCTCTAAAAAACCCAGAGCCAGCTGGGCATGGCAGTACACCCTCGTAATCCCAGTGCTTGGGAGGCTGAGGTAGGAGGATAGTTGCAAGTTCAAGACCAGCCTGGGCTACAAAGTGAGCTCAAGGCCAGCCTGAACTGCATAGTGAAACCCTGTCTCAAAAGGACAAGAAATAAAGCAAAACAAAACAAAAACCAAAGTTAACTAAACAATAACTAAGCTAAATAGACATATATTTAAATATAAATTTATATGTATTATAAATAACTAAGTTAAATATATATAATACATATATATTTAAAAGTTCTGGGGAAACTGAAATTTAAATTCTGAGTGCATTTCCTTTGTTGCAAACAGATGAATGGTTTTGGAAAACTTGAGCATTTTTCAGGAGCAGTGTATGAAGGACAATTTAAGGACAATATGTTTCATGGATTGGGAACTTACACTTTCCCAACTGGGGCAAAATACACTGGAAATTTCAATGAAAATAGGTAAGCGTAAATTTTTTTTCTAAAAATCACTATAGTTCTAAAATGTTTTCAGCTATAGTTTCTTGAATACTATATTATATTAATTTAGTCTTTTTGAGACAGGGTTTCATTATGTAGTTCAGGCTGTGCTTGAACTCATTTTGTAGCCCAGGCTAGCCTTGATTGGCCTCAATCCTCTTGTCTCAGCCTCCCAAGTATTGGGATTAAAGGCCTACACTTTACCACACCCAGAATAAATATTGTATTTATTTAATTCTAAATGTTTTTGTAATATATGTAGTTGCTAAGCGTTGTTGAGTTATTTTAGGTGATAGGAAGTGTTGTCAAGCAGGGTATGACCACCACAGCCTCCCAAAGAGTATCACTCGCAGTGAATCCATTAGGCTTTTCATATCTCCTCTCTAACTTTCTGTTACTGTAGAACTTTTTTTTTTCCATAATTTTATTGAGAAACAAATAGCAATGAGACAGTTTCAAACCAAATTGATAGGACAGTTTCAATAATTAACACATTGCATACATTCTTCCTAGTGGTTATTTGCTGTACAAGATGCGGACTTGATATCTTATTTACAAACACCATTAGAACAAATACTGTAGAACTTTTTGTAGTAGGCTTAAAGATAGAAAATTTATTGTAATCGTTGTGAAAATTTAGGTCAAAAATCATTTTCATGTGAAATATCGTGATATACTTTCAAGAAACAGCCTTGGGGGTAATTTCATAACTGCTTTTTTCATTTTGATTTGACTTGTATGTGTGTTTTTCCTAGGCTAAGTTTTAAAATGTAAGCAAAATTAGTCAAATTTCAGACGGTAGAAATATACCTATTCTTGTCCTTTCTGAGCATGTGCATGAAGGAAAAACAAAAGTGAAACTCAAGTACAGCTTCATAAGCTTAACCTTTACATTAAATTCCCCCGTGCCATCCAGAGGTTCACCTTTATTTACAGATACCCCATTCTTTCTTATAGAATTGATAAGGCAACCTAATTTTTAGTCAACCTGAATACATTCTGAGGGGGATGAAAATGTGTTCAGCTATTTTGACTCCAAGTTTGTAATAGTAACACACAAACTGTTCCTGTTAATATTAATAAAGGCAGGATTCAGAGTTATTATTCCTGTTTATGTGAGTACATTTTCACATCCAGAGAGCTTAAGAAAGCATCAGCACGCTGCCTCTGACCTCAGACATAATCAACGATCAAGACACTTGTGTTGAATAAATTAATGAGCCAATATAAACTTCATTTTTAGCTGTTGTGGTTTAAGCATGAAGTTACTCGAATTATATGATCCTAAAATCTTGGACATCAAAACTTACATAATGAGAATGTGTGTTTGGAGTACTCTGTTTTTTTTCATAGGATATAAAAGCAGGATTCTGGGCTTTAAATCAAAATTTGAAAGTGGAAAGCTATAATCCTTCAGACATAGTGTGTGCTACCTAAACAATCGCCTATCAATTCTTACGCTTGATTAATGAGCAAACCCCTTTTTCATGTTGCAGGGTGGAAGGGGAAGGGGAGTATACCGACACCCAAGGACTGCAGTGGAGCGGTAACTTTCACTTTACAGCTGCTCCAGGCCTCAGACTGAAGCTCTACATGTAGATGCTCTAAATTAAAGTTTAAATGGGGTAATTGAAGTTGTAAATTCTAAGTAGAGCAACCAACTCTGTCATCTAAAATAACTTCACACACTGCCTCTATAAGTTTTCCAATAAAACCATCGCTCATGTATGTCTTTTTGAATTTTGTTTTTATTACTGTGTAGTTTAAAATAAATTATGTGATTCAATTCAGAGTTTACTCATTTTAATAAATCCAGTACAGCAAGTCAGGCGCTCCAATCCTAGGACTCTGGAGGCTGAGGCAGGAGGATTGTGAGTTCAATACCAGTGTGGGCTAGAGTGAAATCCTGTCTCAATAAACTTCAGTTAAGTACACACATCCATGTAGCACACCTCTCCAGATGTTGGCAAAAGCCAATTGTCATCCACACACCTGGATTTTATAATCTTTTGTTTTCTAGTTTATGTTTTCATGTTTATTTTGGAAGAAAAGATTTGCGCTGAGTTCCCTTTTATAAATGCAAATACTTGGCCCTCAATGAATTTTTTTATTGCTGTGGCAACAATAAATTGAAATCAACCTTAAAAAGTTTACCTCTTCGGGGCTGGGGAGATGGCTCAGTAGAATAAGTGCTTCCCAGGTGCAAGGGCCTGAGTTCAATCCCCGGTTTCACAGAAAAAAGTTTACATCTTCAATACATTATCGCTGATGAAGAGGAAAATGTGCCGAGTCTCCCTCAAGCTCACTCCCCTTGCTTGACTGAAGTCTTAGGCCCGCTGATTAGTAAACCTCATTTCCCTGTGTGCCTAGCCCCGTGTAAATCACTATTCTACTCTTTGAGTTGAACTGTTTCAGATACCATGCCCTATTTGTGGAATCCTACACCCATTGTCCTTAGCACACTGTCTTCAAGGTTCACCCATGTTGTCACACATTTCCCAGAATTCCTTTTTTAAGGCTGAATAATATATTTTTTAAAAAATCTGTTGCTAGGGCCAGAGAGATGGCTCAGTGGAATAAGCGCTTCCCTGGCAAGCGCAAGGGCCTGAGTTCAATCCCTGGTTCTGAAAAAAAAAAAAAAAAAAAAAAGAAAAAAAAAATCTGTTGCTGAACACATAGGTCATTTGCATGTTAGCTTCTGTGTACAGGGCTGTAATGAGCATAGAAGATGGTAATGTCTCTTCAAGACCCTAATTTCAATATTTTTGGATGAATATCCATAAGTAGGATTGCTGAATCATAGAATAAGTAGTTCAACTTTTAATCTCTTAAGGAATTGCCATGCTGTTTTCTTTTTCTTTTGTTTTTTGTTTTGTATTCTCATCCACAGTAAGCAAGAGCTTCAGTTGCTCCATATCTTCATCAGCACTTATATTTTGTTTTTTATTTTATTTTATTTTATTTTCATTTATGTGTGTGTGTGTGTGTGTGTGTGTGTGGCCAGCTCAGCCCACCAGGGGGCGGGGCTGGCTGGCATGTGGTGCTGGGGGATTGAACCGCGGTCCCTGTGCTTTGCTAAGCTTGTTCTAAGTAGGTGCTTTAGACCACTGAGCCATCTCACCAGCCCCTATATTTTGTTTTTGTTTATAACTCCCCTGATAATTAGGTGGTATCACATTGTGGTTTTGATATCCATTTTCCTGATGATTAATGACGAGCATTTTTTATTCACATACCTATTGGCCATTTGTACTTCTTTGGGGAAATACTGATTTAATGTCTTAACCCATTTTTAAATTGGGTTCTTGATTTTTTTACACTTGAGTTATTAAAAATCCTTTATGTATTTTGCAGATAATCTCCTACCAGATACGTGGCTCGAAGATATTCTCCCATTTCTTGGGTTGCCTTTTCAATACATTGATTGCCTTGCTGTGGAGATTGTAGTTTGAAATAATCCCATTTGTGCATTTTTTTGTTTTATTACCTGTGATTTTTGTGTCATATCTATGTAGGTAATCACTGCTAAGTCCAGTGTTGAGAAGATTTTCCATCCTGTCTCAAACAGCACATTAAAGGAGCCATACGCCAGTCTGTGGGTGGGGCCTAGGGGTACAGTGCTTGCCTCCCATGGGAGAGGCCTTGTGTTCACTCCCCCCAGCACTGCAGAGTGAATACATGAATGAAATGTTTTAAAAAGTTCATATCATGTGGATTTATCCCCTGGATAAAATGATTGGTCAGCATATAAAATGAATTAATATCGTTGCCCGTAGTGACAGAATAAAGGATAAAAATCATATGATTGTATCAGTAGATGTAGAAAAAGCCCAGTTGACAGAATTCAGCACATTTGTGATAAAAATACTCAATAAAAGAAGAAAAAGTTATATACACTGTATTTTGTTTTTTTAGTTAAGACAATGTCTCACTATGTAGTCCAGTCTGGTCTTGAACTCACTATGTAGTCCAGGCTAGCCTCAAACTCACTGTGATCCTTCTGCCTCAGCCTTCTGAGTGCTAGGATCACAGGCATACACCACCATACCGGTTTTAATAAATCAAGAATAAAAGTTAATGTAACACAGTCAAGATTGTTTATTAAAAGAGTCACAGCTTACATGATATATAACAATGAAAAATAATATTTTCACTCTAAACCTAGACTCTAGGACACACTTCCTTGCTACCTGTGTCTTTAAAAAATATCTTTTTTTTTTTTTTTTTTTTGGTAGTACTAGAGTTGAACCCAGAACCTTCACACTGAGCTGCATCCCCAGCCCTTTTTATTTGTATTTTTTTAAAGTTTCTTGAGCAGAACTCAAACCAGCCATCCTCCTGTCTCTGCCTCCCAAGGGCCAGGATTACAGATATATGCCACATGCCTAGCGGAAAAGTATAGCTACTGTATTTGTTGAAAGACACTCCTGTTGGGTAAGATAGTACATATTTGACAGAACTCAAGACCAAATTAGAAAAAAATCATTACAAAGCTTACAATATTGATAAAATTCTAATTTTCAGAACATTTAAAGATATCTTCCAACTCAGTCATAAAAAATGACAGCCCGGAGCTGGAGGTATGGATCATGTAGATCAGCAGCAGAGTGCTTGTTTGGCACTCCAAAACCACAGAAACAGAGGGAAGAGAGGTAGGGAAGAAGGGAGGGAAGGAGGAGGAGGAGGGGAGGGAGGGAGTGAGGCAGCTAAATGACAATGTAGGTAAAGCCAGCAGATGGAGGGGAACGGTGAAGGGAAAGAAAGGAACCAACATGGAACCGCTTCCCTTGATGAATGTAATCATTATGTACTACAAACATAAACTAATAAAAACAAAAACACCAAAAATAGGCAAATTATATTTCTCTCCATAGAAGATACACAAATAGCCAGTAAGTAAACAAAAAGTGCTCATTATCATTACCTTTTGGGGAAATGCAAGTCAAACCCACAGTGAGATACTACTTCATAACCCAGAGGATGACTGAGTTCTAAAAAAGAACAAAACAGACAATAGCAAAGATTGGCAAAGAGGTGGAGAAACTACAACCCTTAAACATTTCCGATGAGAAATGTAAATGGCGCAACCGTGGTAGAAACAGTTCCTCAGAAAGTTAGTCCCGTGTGACTCGGCTCCTAGCTATATTACTCATTGTTATGGTTCCAGTGTTGGTGTCTGTCCAGAATTCATGCTGAAGCCTAATGACCTAGTCCACATTGTGTCGGTAGTGTGAATGGGGCCTTTGGCAGGTGATTAGGTCATGAAGGGGGGCAGGGCTTCTTACATTGTGTGAGGGGCTTGTTTGCTCCTTCTGCCAAGTCAGGATTCAGCAGGAAGGCGCCATGTTTGAAGACGAGAGCAAGCCCTCACCAGATGTTGAACCTGCTGGCATCTTGATGTTGGACTTCTCTGCCTGCAGAGCTGTGACCAATACATTTCTGTTGTTTATGAATTAGCCAGTCTAAGCTATTTTATTATTAAAGCCCAAACTGACTAAGGCATTCATAGTAGCCCCCAGTGGAGGGAAGAATAATGAGCTATGATGGAAATGTTCTAAAATTAGGTAGTGGCAATATTTGCATAATCTTATAAACATACTGAAAAACACTGAATTGTTTACTTCAAAAGGGCAGACTTAATTTATGGTATGTGATTTAGAACTTTTTTTTTTTTTCAAGTAGATGTGGGAGTCATTACTTATTCTATGCCCCATCTTTTAGATAAAGTAATTTTAAAAGTATTAGAACAAATGCATTGAATTATAACTATGTGACCCATAAATGTACAAATAACAAAATGAAATAATTTGAAATGAAAACAAAAATTGTATGTTAGCTACATTATAAAAACTTCATTAAAGATCTGAGTGTTTTTGCTGAAACTCTATTCAAAACTAAAAGAAAAGTAGTGTGTGTGATAGAAATTTCTGTATCTTTGTTTTTCGAACTCTTATAAATATTTATATTCTGTGATGTGATTGGCAAAAATTATATTATGCTGCAATACAAATTGTATTAAAATGTCTTTTAAAATGTTAAAAATGATACTTTGTCAGTTTCTCATAATAAATTTGTATTTTATTTTAAAAGATTCAAGTGTTTGAAGATAGAGTTTTAAAAGTTGGACTTTTTTATTTATGGCTTATGGCAATATAATTTCAAGTTAAATATTATTATCACTATTATATTGGGATTTATAAGGAGATAGATACCAGACAAGATAGAGCGAGAGACTATTTCCAGAGATCAGAACATAATGCAAATTCAAAACTTTTGGAAAATATAGAAAGGAGTCTATATTAGTACAAATTCAATTTTCCTCTGTATTTTTCTTCAAATTATTTTAAATGGCAAGAGATATACTTTACTCTTAAGATTGCTAAATTATTTTTGCTAAATTATTTTCTTTTCAATGTGTGTTTTTATTTTTCTAAGACATCAAAATCATTCTTGTTAAACATAGTTCTTCCTTTTTACTCCTTGAAACTAGACACAGTTCAGTTACTTGATTAGTTGATGCTAGAATTTGACCTGGAGCTTATATAATTAGCGGAGACAGCGGAGACACTAGTTTTCCTCATTTAAAAGCCTGTTAGGATATGCCAGTCTCGTTTCGGGGGAAGCCAAACCTCTTTACTGCTTCTTTTTATAACCTTTAAGTTGCTCTGAAATCCAGATAAGCCTTGATCTGAGGATGGTATAACCACAGCAAGCAACATGGGGTAAGTGTGTCCTTCTGTATGCTTTAAGTGA